AGGAGCTGAACCAAAACAGCAGGGGGTCCAACAGTTGCAGGGGAAGGTTGACTGACTAGTTTCTAAGAGCGTTTCTATAAATTCATGACTGTCCGAGGTCTGTCCCCCAGTTGTGAAGGTTAAAAATCTGATCTCCTTCAGTGCAAATTGCCAGTTTCTTCTTAATGTGCCCACAGAGGCCCAGGGCCTGAGGACAGAAGGCCACTGGCTTGATTTCTACGGAGATGTGCAGATATCAAGCAGATTGGATGGCCATCTCTTTCTGATCTGATCAGCTGGATATCTTGTGGAGGAAAGAAACTTAGGTCAGCCAAGGATCAGAAGGTCACGTGGACAGCAGAGCCAGACTGTGCTGTTACACATCTGTTCTACCTTAGATGTGCATTAGCACCAGGGTTTGCTAACCAGCTTCATCCGGCTTCATGCTGAGGGTGCCTGCCCTGCTCTGATGGGCACTGCTCTTATCTTATCTAACTTTTCTAAGTCTCATTTCTAAGTGCTGACTCCTCTCAAATTCTGTTTTTAATTTAAAATCAAATTTAGTTAGCTCATATAAGTTTGATTTTTAAAAAGCTAACTAAATTTGATTTTATATATAATTTATAATCACATATATGATTTATATATATAAACTATATATATGTAGTTTATTATAAAGTACCTTATTTATAAAAGACCTGATGCTTCTAGCCACCACCCTCCCCCATTTCCCCTCCGCCCGCCCCCCACAAGCAACTGCTTTAAACTTTCCAATTGATTCTTTTGGTAGTTGTCTTGATCTCTGAATAACATGTTTCTATTGCCACTTGTTGATTTCTCTGTTGTAGGTGTTATTTATCGATTTCTCACTGTGGAAGATGACGATTAGCTGTCTTTGGTCTTACCCTGACAAAACACACACACATCCTCCGGCACAGACATATTATCTTTTTCAGTTTAATCCCTCCCTGGTCCATGATTACATTATGCTGATTCTGAAAACGCTATCTAGCTAAGCTGCGAGGTACATAACAATTATTTTTATACAACTTTTTAGTTTCTTTTGAGTTAAGACTTACCTTTTCATTTTAATTTGGTTGGTGTTCAATATCCTTAATACCAATTCAACTCCAAATGCTCTCTCAGTTATGTAAATTTCCTCAGTATGTTAAAAAATGAGGCACTGTCAGTTTCATCCTGAGGCAGTGTCTCCTGGAGTCCGCCCTCTGGCCAGCGGTAGCTGGGCGGAGCCTGACCGCGCTGCGCCCCCTTTCCCCTCAGCTCGCCGCTGCTATTGCTGCAGGTGCCGCCGCCGCTGCTGCTCCTTCCTTAGCAATACGGAATTCATATACCGCACAGATACTCAATTCAGTGTTTTTTGGTCACTCACAAAATTGTGCAACCATCACCACACTCTAATTTCAAAACATTTTTATCAGCCCCAAAAGAAACCCTATATAGTCATTAGCGATCACACCCCATCCCATCATCCTGCCAGTTCCTGGAAACCAGTACTTGTTCTGGACATTTTGTATCAATGGAATCATGAATATGAGGCCTTTTGTATCTGTCTTCTGTCACTTAGCATGATGCTTTCAAGGTTCACCTTTCAAGGTTCATTCTTTTTTATGGCTGAACATCCATTCTATGGATAGACCATGTTTCCTTTCTCCATCTGTGATGGCTGTGTTGTGTTTTCAGTTTTTGGTGGTAATGAATGATTTTCTCACTCATGTTAGTGTTGGATCCCCTATTTCTTGGAATCTCTATTTTCCTCTAACTAGATTTCTTCTCTTTTTTTGGTGGGAGGGTCAAAGTTTTTAGAGATTGCATGTCCGCAGATGTCTTCACCTACTTCTCACATGGTTTGGCCTGGTGTACCATTCTAGCTTGGAAATCATTCCCTGGGGGCGTGACGGTGTCACTCACTGTTTTCCAACCTACAGTATTGCTGTTAAGAAATCCTCCGCCATTTCTCATTTCCCTCCTCTGCAAAATCCTGCTTCCAATCTAGAAGCTTATGCCCTCCTCTCTTTGTCCCCATGTTCTAAGACTTCAGCATGAGGTGTCAGAGCACGGCTCACCTGTTGTGCTAGCTGCTTGTGGGGCTCTTCCACCTCAGTACTCATGTCTCTTGCTTTGGGGACATTTCTGGAATTATATCTTTGGTTTTCATCCCCTCTGTGTTATCTCCTCTGCCCACTTTTTGAACTCTTCCCATGTGGTAACTCTTCATTTCATTTCTAGTTTTCCATTTTGGTATCCTTTGGCTCTATTTTCTGGAAATTTCCTTACCTTCTGGTCTTTATATCTAGTGTTCCATTTTGGCCATCACAGTTTTGCTCTCTAAAAGAGCTTCTTTGCTCTCTCTATGCTATTTTTTTTCTCCTTTTAAAATATCTCCCTATTATTGTTTCTCACCTACACCGTCTTCTCTCTCTCTCTGGGAATGTTACTGATCGTTTGCTTTTGAAGTATGCTTCTCCCTAAACTGTGTCTCCTACAAGTTATTTTTCTCTGTCTGTTTATTCTGGTCCCTATCTTTCCATCTTAGGTGCTTGTCTCAAAAGAAGGTGATTCCTGGCTGCCTACTCAGGGGCAGGAGTAGGGTAATAAAAAGCTGATTTAAAACTCTGTGATCATTTCCTGGTGGGATGATTTGGCTCCGCTATTTCACTGGAGAGACCCCCTTTACCCCCAAACTGGCCTCTTCAGTTAGTTAGATTTACAGGAAAATACTTTCTATTCCCTTGCTTAGAGGTAGAGGTTGACTGCTGCTGTTCTGGGGATGGAAGGGAGGGGTGGGAAGCAGATGGAAGAACCTCAAAATTTCAGTGCGTTTTATTTTTTTCTCTCTGTTTTCAATAAGAGATTTCTGCCTTCAGTGCTGTTCAAACCTACTGTTTTACCTTTTCCAGAGAAAAAAATCCTTAGTCTTCTTTTAAATTGCTTCTTAGCCCCCCATGTTCATTCCCACCTCCAGAAGCGACTTGTGTTAGTAGCTGATCAGCCTTTTGCAAGTTGTTCCATTTTAATTAGATGGTGTTCTGGTGTTGCCCACTTTCAGTTAAGAATGAAATTTCCTCAGATCTGTCAAGTTACTTACCAGTTATCTACCTGCTTCTTCTAAAATAGTTTTGTCTTATTTCCTCTCTCATTCTCTTTTTCCTTATGGGTAAGGCCTTTAGAAAGGACTTTTTTAAATTGGAATTTTAATGGGATTCTGAGAGGATGTGAATGAAAATTAATATTGAGTCTGTCAGCTTTAACAGGATGTCCTTTAAATTTTTTCTTAATACCTATTTCAGGCTTCAGTTTGTTGTTTGGCCACTCCCTACTGGAGTGGCTGGAACTGTAGTTACTACTGGGGTAGAAATAGCTTAGGGTTTCACTCCGGTGTGTTCTGCATCGTCAGGCTGGGGCTTGGCTGCCTCTGTGGGCTCTAACTAGTTGCAGTCTGATGGAGGCTTAATGAAGGGCTGGAGGTGGGACCACAGGGCAGTTCAGGCTCAGTGACCCCCACTTTCCCACTTTCACTTTCTCCGTGCCACTTCCTTTCACCCTGTCCCCTTGTTTCTCAAACCCCCATCATTACAGGGCTAGCCTTAGATTCTTCTTTTGCCTCATTACCATCTCATCGCATTTTATTGAGGCTTCCAGGAGTCTCACCTCCCAGACCACACAGGAAACTGGATCTGCATAGTTGATGCTGGTTTTCAGACTTGGGGCTGATCCATGTACCTAATGTGCGCCTCTCGATCTTTTTCTTAACTGCTCGCTCAGCAGTTCTTTCCTGCTTTTGTTCTACTTTTTTGGGAATTATCTGGCCCATTCCCAGTTTTTATTTATTTAGTGTTCTCTACAAATTAAGCATATATGAATATATACCTAAAAGTAAAAATACCTATTGGTGTCTACCATTCTAACTTTCATAATGAAAGTTTTTATTTCTTTTTAATTTTTAAATTTCACATAGGAAAGCCCTCTGGGGTGTGATCCACTTCTGTTCAGTTGGTTTTAGAGAGCGCACAGAGCACATTATGTTCAAGAGCATTTACTAAATCCTGTTTTTCACTGACTCAGTCTATGCCCAAACCCTCCTACTCCCTCGAACCATGTGACTATCTTCCCCTACTTTCAATGTCAAACCTCCATAAAGGCCAACATCCTAATGCAAGCTTCCGTTGTAGCATACCTGGGCTTATTTATCCCTCCATCCTTCCTGTGTATATTCATTTCACAGGACAAATATTTATTGAGAATGTTCTGTATACCAGCCTCTACCTTGAGACAGATCCAAATCTCACCTGTTTATCATTTAATCTTTTTAAAACATTGTTTACAAATAACACTGCACATGCAAAACATTTAACCTCCGTTCATTAAAGTCAGAGCTTCTTAACCTGAACTCTGTGATCTTTACTCTTCTCTTAACTTCATCTCCCAACACCCTACTAATTCTTGTGCTGACCTGGGAGCCAGTTTCTTTAAGAGGTCTTTGCATTGCCATTATACATTGGTTTTAGGGTTTTTCCACAAGCTGCCATGTTTTCAGTCTAAGTGTGAATTGTCAGAGCCAGCTTACTGGCTCTACATGCACTCTGACCCCCACTACCATTTCCCCCTGGGCTGTAGGCAGGCACAACCTCACTGGAAAACTTTTCGTTGGAGAAAAATAAATTGACCCATGTAAAAGATGCAAGTATAGGCTCTTACCGTCTTGCCAACGCATTGTCTATTTTTCCCTGGAGTGGGAAGTAGTGATAAGATTATTCCCCAGACTCCTGTGCATCTGTTTCTGTGACAGTTCTTCCATTTTTAAATACACATTACCATTCACCTTATTGCATTGTGTGAAAATGTTGCAATGTTGAAGTAATTAGTAATTGTGGTCCTTTTCCCCCTTAAAAAGAACTTTCGTCTCTGGATATTTGGAAAAAGAGATTTTTTTTTTTTTTTCCTGGGAGAATAATTTTTGATTACTGTTAAAATATTTATGGAATGTCTTTCTTTTCCTAAAGTTGTACCAAACCTTTGGAATGTTGATGGAGAAGTTACAGTCACTGAGCAGAAGCCGGGAGAAGTTGCTGAGGAACTAGCAAGCTCCTATGAAAGAAAGCTCATTGAGGTAAGGCTGGAAAAGTCTGCCTTTATTGGTGATATTGGCTGCTTTGAGGACTTCCCAGAAATAGGCCCAGTCTGTTAAACAGATGTTGACAAAGCAGTGAAAACATTGTACTTGATAAAGAAAGGTAAGAGCTGGTTCTTTGAAACATATTATTTAATTGAAATTTTGTATCCACTTGGCCAGGAAATAAGAGAAAAGACATAAATATGTAATGTTAAAAATAAGAAAACAAATGTACCCTTGGATTTGGAGAGAATTAAAAACAGGAGAGACTATCACATACTATTTGGGGCTGATAAGTGTGAAAATATGAATGAGATGGACTATTTTCTAGGATAATGTTTATTATCAAAATTAACTGAAGATGAAGCATTGCCTGAAGGGTACCAAAGATCTTGTGGAACTAATTAAAGAACTGTTTCCCTAGAAGGTAGCAAGCCTGGATGGTTTGGTGGTGATTTCTAGGAAACCCTTCAAGCATACACAAAAGCCCTTTGCTATTTACATTTCCTTAAAGCATTATCTATATCTATACCTGTATTTATATATAGCTATATCTATACATATATCTTTATCTCTGTATCTTGGTTCAAGTGTGCTTTACTTCAATATAAAAAACCTGACAAAGATAGTATAAGAAAGAAACGATACAACAGGCTCATCTCATTTGTGCATAGATGCATAAAAATTCTAGAAAGATACTACTGAATCAAATTCAGTCACATATTAAAGGAACAGGCCACATAAAAGTAGGATTTATTTAGGTTTTCAAGGGTTAGCCTAATGTTAAGAAATTCATTGTCAGCTCATTGATAAATCAAAGGAAAAAAACAGATACTGATTTTGATAGGTACTAAAAATTCATTTGGTAACAGTGATCATTGGTATCTGATAAAAATATTATAAATGAAGAATAAAGTCATTTCTTTGATATGATAAAGTATTTTTTAAAAAATACTTTAACCATTATTATGGTTAACCATTCTGATAAATATCAGAAACCATTATTTATCACCATACTCAATGGTAAAGCAGAGGCAAGTTTTTGATTAGGTAACTAGTTTATAAAATATAGGTATATATAGGTATATATAAATATAAAATATGTATTATATATATATATAGGTGGTGGTCACTGGATGGTATTTATTACAAGTCATGTATGTTTGTATACATACACACATGAAGCATACAGCCAGTTACTGTCAGATCCGCTTACATTGCTGCTCTTGTTAGCTGCCAGCAAGGCAAGTGTTGACCAGCTCCATCAGAGGGAGCAGCAGCTGGGCATGGAGATTTCTCTTGCTAGCCTTCATTTCCTTTCTTTTGCACCTGTGATGCCCTAACCTCGGGAGCAGCAGAGTTGATGGTTGTAGTCAACCAGCTGAGATGCGAGGCTGAAGCAGGATGTTCCTCCAGTGAATTGACTACCCCAGATTGATTTTCCTTTGTTTTGGTTGCAAAGTGAGGTTCTGTCAGTGATCTTTCATCTGTGAATATTATTAGCATTTCATTGCAATAAGACTTTTGCTGAACCCTCTACATTAGCATTAATCAAGCCCTTTAAAATGTTTTTTGTGATGTTTGTCTTGTTATTTTATTAATGGATTGGCTTTTAACAAGAAAGAGTTGTAAACACGTGTTGGAATGGAGTAATGAAAGAATGTGGGGGGAAAAGTTGATGTACTTCTCTTTCCATTTCAGGAGGGCAAAGGAAGAAGAAACGTTTTAATTTAAATAATATGACTTTTGAAGTACCCCAGCAGTTGAATTCCTCTTTTGTGATTCATCCCAATAAAAAGGGAGTTCCTGAACATTCTTCTTTTAGGTGTCTCTCAAAGCATTAAAACCACCTCACACATCCACACACAAATGCTGCATTCTTCATGTTCAAGCCCAGTGACCTGGAATCCAGCGTTCCAGGTGGCTCAGAACCCAAAATCAACACTGTAAGATGTCTTTCACTAGCTGGGGAGCATCGGGGGCCAAGGACTGGAGGTAGAAAGATTGTTCTTGATATCTTGTGATGGTTAACTTTGGAAAACAAGAAGGGAAGGAGAATGCTGGCAAGGCGTAGGTTAATCTGGCAGGGGAGAAACATTAGTATAAAAACACTCATTATATAACTGCCACTGTAGTACTAGCAGCTATCTGTGGGGTGTGTACTTCTATTTCCAGGCAGCATGCTAAAGCTTTTACGTACATGGACTCATGTAATCCTTAGCAGTGCCCTGTGAAGAAGATAACTGTTCACAGAGGGAATTTTGAGAAGTTAAGTAACTTTCCCAAGATTTTCTAGCTGGTAAGAAGTAGAGCTGGATTCAAATCACCCAGGGCATCTATCACCAGAGCTCAAACTCATAATCCTGCTCCACTCTGGAAGGGCGAGCTCATTTAAGAAACAAAAGGTGAACTTGACAGAAGAGAAGACTAGTCATGTTTAAAAGAATGAATGAAAGGAGCCAAGGAGGAAAGCCAGCTGTAGATGACAGAAAGGCACCATTGCAGTTTGAAATTGTTCTGGGAGGAGCCCCTCCTACACCCTTAGTTACTGTAGAAGAAGGGAGTGAATGTGTCTCCTGTGGTTGGAATTACCTGCTTCTGGACATACTGTAGTGGAACGCAGGCTGGGAGCTCCTTTAGGGGATGGGGAACATTATCTTTTTAATTGTATATTCATTGACTACACAGCTCCAGCATATGGTAGGTGGTCCATAAATATTGAGTGGAATGACAGTCTATTGAATGGATTCAGCTGTTTAGAGTAATGTTTAAAGAGTGATAGATGTGGCTTCTGGAACCCCAGGTTGAAAGTGACTTGTACCAAAGCCCCACTATAGCGCAGAGCATTCTGGTGGGAAGGATTAGATAGCTAACAAGAGGAAACATGGGTTCTTTACAGGAGGAACGCTTTTTTTCCTGGCACTCAGTTTTAGGAGGAAGTTTAGTTTGGAGAGCCTGGAAAGGTAACATACAGATGGATGCTACCAATTCATTTAGCCCATATTTGTTGAGTGCCTTCTAAGGGCCCAGACTTTAGCTTCCTTCCTCCACCTAAAGTGGCTTCCTCTATGCAGAGTAATAGAGTTGATGGTTCTGGGATATGAGCCACAAAAAAAGCAAGGTTGTAGCACACATGTTCCTCAAATGGCATTTACTTCCCTAGATTTGAGTTCGTCTTTGACTGCAAAGCCATTGATGTTTCATCTATGAATAGCATCAGCTCTTTATTACATCAAGGCTGATCCTAGGTTACAAAGATGAACAAGACACCATGCCATCTTCAGTGAGCTCCCATCTCTCAGTGCGTTAAGTAGCCATTTCCATTATGATCATCAGGAAGCAGGGGTGAAGAGCAGATGTAGAGTTTTGCCTGCTTCCCGGGGTCCTAGAGCCATGTCTCTAACAACAGTTGTGCAGAGCTTGTGTGCCTAACTGGAGCTTCTAGAATGTTCCTCCCTTTTTCTTCGGGATTGTTAGTAATGACACTTCGAATTTCTTTTGTAAACTTCCCATTCCTCTTGAAGCTCTAGACATTAGAGGAAATTGATTTGTTTTTACCACGGGTTTTGAAGATAAAAGTTATTGGACACATCCAGGAGAGATCTGTTCTAAGATTTTCTTTACCTCTTTTAAGTACAATTCCTTTGGTTTAGACTCATCTCCCGAGATTTTTCTATTCTTTTCCAGCAGTAGCCATGAAGAAAGACATAAAAATGTTAGTGGCATTTGGACTTTGGTCCTGCTTCTCTTTGCTGCTACTGCTTCGGCAGCCTGGTGGCTTAGAGGGCACACAACATCCCACATCAGACAGAGTTTAGGTTTGTCACTTACTGCCATGTGTTCCTGGGCAGGCCACGTGGCCTCTCCAAGCTTCAGTGTTTCCGTCAGTAAAATGTAACCAGTAGTGCAAACTAGTAGGGTAGCTTGGAGAACTAAATATAGAGGATCTGGCTTAGTGCTTGTAGTAGACAGGCAGTATCTCTGTGTCTCTTTGTTTCCCTTCTGATTTCCTTTGGATTAATGACCTTTCCACTGCTGCTTGCTGTCTTGGTGGAGGAGTAAATCTAAGTCCTCTGCCCTCCTTTGGCCCCGGGGTGAGCGTGTGACCTGAGCCAGGGCAAGAGGGGCTCTAACTCCTGACTTGCACAGAATAGCAAAAATGCTTGGGAGGATCCTGGTACCTAGCCAGTTGTTCCTGTATTGAACTTGCCAGGGCTGCTGTGGTTATGGTCTCTTCTCGGAGCCAGATTCTCCCACCTTCCTGACGGGTTACAGTAATTCCTTTTTAGCTTAGTATACAATATGCTTCTGTGACTTACCTCCAAAGCCCTTCAGCTCATATGCAGGTTTGTATGTGTATATGATTGTCAGGTGTCATTTTCTTTCATTTCCCATTTCCACGCTGCTTACAAGGGCTCCTTTATCCTGCCTTCTGTGTTCTGCCCCGCTTCTTGCTTTACCCCTGCTGTTTGCTGGCCTGGGGGCCCTGTACTTCAGAACTGCCAGTCCACCCTCTGCAGACAGATCTTACTTCCTCCCAGGGGGCAGGATTCAGCTAGCTGTTGATTGATTTTTCAAATTTTAGGATACTTATCATTTACACTGTGAGTATATTTAGTTCCTGAATTTTTGCTCATGGGTGACATAAATGGTTTATTAGCCACATTTATTCTCATTATGATGGCAGAGTTACTATTAATGGAAAAGTAAGCTTAAGCATCAAGCTGGTAAAAAATATACTCATAATTACACACTGTAGATAACTGAATGTGATCATCATTTTAATAAAATGTAAACGTTACTGAAGCAGCCAGTACCTTGGGAGCAGTTATACCACCAGCACTGGCTTCATAATGGGCACCAGTGGGTTCCAACACTCTTGATGTCCCTGAGGGTCATTTTTATACACAGTAAGGGTGGGCTTTTAAATAAAATACCGCATTCAAGATAAAGAACTTTGAGCTGAGATCAAATTGAACTGACAATCAAAATGAAAA